ACATGCAGGAAGAGGAGGCCTGGCTGCAGCAGTGTGCGCAGCGCATCAACGACGAGTTGGAGGGCCTGGGGCTGGAGGGCGGCAGCGAGGGCGAGACGCTGCGGGATGACTGCTACGACTCCTCCAGCCTGCCCGATGACCTCTCCGTGGTCAAGGTGGAGGACAGCTTCGAGGGTGAGAGGCCGGGCAGGCGCTCCAAGAAGATCTGGCTAGTGCCCATTGACTTTGACAAGCTGGAGATCCCGCAGCCGGACTTCGAGGTGCCAGGCGCCGACTGTCTGCTCAGCAAGGAGCAGCTGCGCAGCATCTACGAGAGCAGCCTGTCCATTGGCAACTTCGCCTCCCGCCTGCTGGTGCACCTCTTCCCGGAGCTCTTCACCCACGAGAACCTACGCAAGCAGTACAACTGCAGCGGCTCTCTGGGCAAGAAGCAGCTGGACCCTGCCCGCATCAAGCTGATCCGCCACTACGTGCAGCTGCTCTACCCCCGGGCCAAAAATGACCGCGTCTGGACTCTGGAGTTCGTGGGCAAGCTGGACGAGCGCTGCAGGCGCCGGGACACGGAGCAGAGGCGCTCCTACCAGCAGCAGCGCAAGGTCCACGTGCCAGGCCCTGAGTGCAGAGACCTGGCAAGCTATGCAATCAACCCCGAGAGGTTCCGAGAGGAGTTTGAGGGGCCCCCTTTGCCCCCCGAAAGGAGCAGCAAGGACTTCTGCAAGATCCCCCTGGACGAGCTGGTGGTCCCCTCACCCGACTTCCCGGTGCCTTCTCCCTACCTGCTGTCGGACAAGGAGGTGCGCGAGATCGTGCAGCAGAGCCTCTCCGTGGGCAACTTTGCCGCCCGGCTCCTCGTCAGGCTCTTCCCCGAACTCTTGACTGCCGAGAACCTCCGGCTGCAGTACAACCATTCCGGGGCTTGCAACAAGAAGCAGCTGGACCCCACGCGACTGCGGCTCATCCGCCATTATGTGGAGGCCGTGTACCCCGTGGAGAAGATGGAGGAGGTGTGGCATTATGAATGTATCCCCAGCATCGACGAGCGGTGTCGCCGTCCCAACAGGAAAAAGTGCGACATCCTCAAGAAAGCCAAGAAAGTGGAGAAGTGACGGGCCTGTGGGCTGCCCAGAGACTTGGGTTATGAAAGGCTGAGCGATGGGCACCCTCGGGACCGAGTCACTTTGGAACATGTGAATGGTATCCACAGACAGGCACCTTATGTCAGTGGGGAGTGGCTTCCTACATTTGCACACGTAAACACCTACCCACCCACCCATGAGAAAGCAGCCTTGAATTTGGTCTCTTGACTTTGCCCTGTATTCCCTGGTGGCACAGCCCGAGTTTGGGAGGAGCCAGGCTGTCAGCAGAGGGACTAGCCGAGTAGGTCCTCTCTTCTTGATTGTGCCCTTTCCTGTCCCTCACAATCCAAAATGCAAATTCAGCAGCTTCTGGTCCTCTCCCCACACTTTACATCTTCCATTTTTTTAACTTTTTCTTCTTTTTTTAATTAAAATGAACCCCTTTTTAAAAAAAAATCATTGGGCTCTTTGGGGGCCATTTTACTTAGAAAATCTTTTTAAGTATTTGAGGTGAAGTACTGTAAGATAATTTCAGTTGCTGGGATTTTAAAAGATGATTCAGAGATTTATGAATTTTTTAGAAGTGCCATGTTTGTGCATGATGGGTAATCATAGCTTCAGGTGGCATAGAGACTGATTTTACTGACCTTGTCTATGACATCTGATTTTGGAGGAGTCTCGATGCCCCTTGGATGGCAGTAGAGGGGATGATAGGAATAGCTTGAAGTCCTTTCTGACGATGTGCAAGTTTTTCCTTCTGCTGTGGTCCCCGGGAAGGAGATGTGCTGCGCGTCAGTAGAATGCTGTGCTCACTCTGTAGATGAGAACACTGGATGATGATATGAATGTAGATAGACCTGGAAACACACATTCACACAATGCCTCCATTTGAGCTGTGTCCTTCCCTGGCCCCCTATTCCCTCTCCACACATGGGTGCTAATTGGAGGGGCAGATTCATTTTCTTGGAAAATAATGTGTGTGAGCATTTGGCTTCTTGTTGATTGAAGGGTGGGCTTCTTTGAGTTCACCAAGAACTGTTTACTTTCTGTGTGGGTATTTGTACAAAATGCAGGTCTTGGAGCTGTGTGGTGACTTCCCCAGACCTCAGCATTAGCTCCTCCCATTAGCATGGCATCTTTATGCCTCTGGGCAGGCCCAGGCCTGGGGCCCTCTTGAGGATACCTGATATTGAAAGGGCACAGGTCATCTCAAATGGGGCTCCCATGTCCCTTCCCAGGTTCACTCAGAACTTTCCCCTTGGGTCCTCTAGAAGGTTCTACTATCTTACCCTGGCCCATGCCCTGTCTTCTAGGTGTACATCTCTCCCCTCCCCACTGATTGGGAAGGTCACACTGCTCCAAGCCGGCAGTTTGCTCTCTAGGGGCGCCAGTTGGGAAACTCCCCAGC